AATCTGCGGCAACTGTGTGATGCCATCATGTCAATATGGACCAAAATCTCTGAGGAATGCTTCCAGCACCTTGTTGAATCKATGCCACGAAGAATTGAGGCAGTTCTGAAGGCAAAAGGGGGTCCAACCCGTTACTAGCGTGGTGTACCTAAYAAAGTGGCCGGTGAGTGTATATCATTACTGCCACTAATTGCAAAAGATATGGACTTTTTGCCATATCACACATCCCATGTGTCAGCRTTATTACTGACGCATCAAAACCAGTAACGTTGCTTTGAACGAGGGATGTTGTTTATTTTGTTCCTTCCTACATGCTGAAAATGGTGAACAGCATGAAAAACACTCTGCTCTCTGCAATATTCTGTTGTAGTGCAGAAACAAAACCTTTTGGCTGCATTGGGCACATGTGATTTTACGACTGCAGAGTTTTTCACACTTCAGTAGAGGGTTCCCCCAAAAATCTCCACCCTGATGGGTCGTTTACGCTGATCTGGTTTGGTTTTAAGTGAAACGTTTTTGTCATAGTTCAGCCGTTCATTTACAAGACAACAGTGATCAGAGCCTCTGACACTGGAACTTTTTGAATCCAGGTCTGAGAGAACGTTTCGGGGGAACGCCCCACATGTGTGGAGTCCCACATGCACTCATGGCTGCAGACTAAAGTTTCTTTCCTGCACTAACACAGCATTGCAGAGAGATGAGTGTTTTTTCATCAAATARGAGTTAAACCAGCAACATCCCACTCCCAACAGTAACGATGGTGTATTCACCAGTTTGAATGGAACTGTGATCACGCTGATGCTGCATGCAGCTGAGCCTGACATCAGGGTTGCCAGATAAAAATGAGATTTTTGCCCCCTTGTCTCTGTGCACATTTTTACCAAACACTGCTCACGCCTCATCTCACAACACCCTCACTCAGCACATGTAGCAGTTTGGACCAAATTAAAGAAGATTTAAATCGACAGTACATCTTCAACATTTCCCATCTCGTCCTGATGCATCTCAGTAATCCAGGTAAAAAAATAAAAAAGAAAAAAATTGTATAGGTCTTCTGGACGGGTTCTTCTCTAATGAAACGTTTCGTCTCTCCTCCAAGAGACTTCTTCAGTCTGAGAGTTTCAGGAAAAATTCAGGCTTTTAAGCACTGCCTCCATGTGACTGATACTCACATCACATGGCTATCATTGACACCTAATTAACACTTATTGTTAACAGGGGGTGGAGTGGTACTGGCACTAGCCGCACTGTAGGAGGGGGACAACTGAAAACGGAGGCCTCCACCTCTGTTTAATGATGGAYGGTCTTTCTTCACAAAAATGGCTTCTTTTACTCCTCTCTCAAACCAACGTTCCTCTCTATCAAGAATGAGAACATCCTCATCTCTGAAAGAGTGASCGCTGGCCTGTAAATGAGTGAAAACTGCAGAGTTCTGGCCATTAGACCATTAGATGTAGCTCGTCTGTGTTGGGACGAGATTTCCCATCTCACAACCCTGCCTTGCATACTGCAGATCTGTGTAAACATATGTGTTTGTTTTCACCAGTAAACATAAAAAAACACTAATGTTTCCAGAGCTTTTCATGTAAACGGCCTACGTATATTAGCAGCCAAAACCATGTGTCAGCCTGGCAAGTTTTGAAAATCAGGGTTTGTTTTTGAGTGCCTAACTTGCAACTTTGTATTCTATGCTGTGCACATTGTTTTGTTACCCACCTTCGCTCATTATTTCACCTTGGCAGTTGCCCCTACATTTATGATTTAATCTACTGGAGTGCACTTTTGAAATCAAGATAAATAGATTTGGACCAGTTTATTAATAACTAACGTGATTTTTCAACTTGGACAGTCAGGCTGTCGCCTTGAATGTTTTTGTCAGAGGAGAGCTTCTTTGTGAAGAGTCAAATAAATCTCTAATGTTCTAAAATAGATTTGAACCTGAAGTGAATTTGAACTTCTGCAAATTGAAATCGAACCAAATTAAGGTGGAATTGAGATGAGTACAGTATGAAGGCCATAACTCTGACTATTTTGAGAGATTTGTTACAAATATTTGAACACGTTGAAAATTCAAGCTACAAGGCTGAGAGCCTGTGTGACTCGACAACAGTTTGAATAAATTAATGAATTCTCAGAGGTTTTTGACTTTCTCACAAATGCTGTTCACCAGCAGTCACAGCAAAATACATCTGATGCTGTCAAACATACTTGAGTAGATTAACTCATAAATTATTGACATCATTCATAGCCTGAACTAGGGATGCAAGTTATCAATTAATGGATTAATCTAAAGTTGAAAGATCTTATCGATCGACTAACGATTAATTGATAAGCGGCAATTTTCCTAAAAACCTAAAATTCCTCTTGAATCAAGAGTCTTTCTGTAACATGAAGGGCTAATTTTGTACACACTAAATAAAAAAGTACAGTATTTTAACAATTCATTGTGCCAGCTGTGTGAGTAAACACTGACTGAATGAACAGAAAAAT